CTGAACAGATTTATCTTGACGAGGCTCGCGGGCGTGCTGGAGCGGATCCCAACCGTCTTTGGGCAGTCGGCGGGGTCCACCCTCAACTAGTTGCCAGCCAATCGCAGGGCACACACAGACGAACAATCATTAGCCCTCACAAAGTCTTATCTATAATATCTATATGATACAATTAGCCTGTCAGGAGAAAAGCATCAGCTGGATCAATATGTTGCTCAAAATGGTGTCGCGCTCTATAACGACACAGAAGACAAATGTGAAGGAGGAACTTTGCAGATGTGATGCATCGTACAGGTTATGCCTCCTTAGTCTTCAGACAAAATGCCTCCATTAACCGGCCCATGAAATGAAGCAGGGCTCATTTGGAAGGAAAGCTGCAGAAAATGGCTTTCAAACACGACAGAAGTGGGCCGGGCCACTTCCAACTTGCGATAAAGCCTGACATTGGCAATGCCTTTCCTTTTAACTTGCTGCCACATTAGATATTAGGCCGAGTAGTCCCCCGAGTATCATTGCGTCTCTAAAAGGAAGTGCCTGTAGTTTTGCCGGGGAGTAGCGTGAATAAAAATAATGCTGCGAAAGCCTTATTCACACTCACAATTGCACTTAAGGCAATTCAGCCATTGCGGGGACCGGCAGTGGGAGAAAATGAGTCTAGAGCATCAGACAGCTTTTTCAAAGTTTTTTTTTTTTTTTTTTTGCTTTCCCTCATGCATATCAATATCTTGGGTGGCTCATCTGCAATCAGTCGAAATGCTGAAAATCGCTGAAAAATATGTGGCCATCTCAAGAATCGTTTTTACAACATTCGTAAGACCGGCCAGCCAGTAAGCGTAACATTTCAAAATAATTTGATGAAAAAGGTTGAATCTGTGGCATGTGTTTACAGGATTCTTTTTTTTTTTTTTTTTAAGCAGAGACAGCCATTATGTAATTTTGTCAAAGCACAAAATTGTCATGGTGATCCTCGACTAAGAGTTGAGATTCAATAAGTGTCAACAGCTTGTGCACATTGGCTTTGACCTTTGCTCCCTGAATGCTGGCTGCTTCCAAGTAAATAAATGCCCACTTCGCGTTCATAAAACCCACTTGAATAGCCGTGTCAAGGTCACCGAGCCAATCAACACAAAACAAGAACACAAATTACATGATGCTTTTAACATCAAATATCGCAGAAGTCATACAAAAAATGGAGCTGCTTTCATAAAGAATGTTCCGAAAGAAGCTGAAAATAAGAGTCATCAAATCACTGTGATTATTGCTTGTGTTTAAAAAAAAAAAATAGTAATAATAATCTGGCATCTGGTGTTTCAACTCTGATCAAAGCAACAATCCTTTTCATCAATCGGTTTTTCAGTTCGCAGGCTGGCTGCCGGTTTGATTGCGGGCGCTTCTGTTGGAACCACAAGGACTCGGCCGACGAAACCAATCTTGAATATGTTCCCCCGCGACCCACGGGTGGCGCGACCCACGGATGGCACGACCACCCAAACAAATTTCATGGAAAAACGGTCAAGCGGCGTTCCCGGATAGCAGACTTCAAGCAAAGTGGTGATCAGCCCATTACAAAGTCGGTTCCCTCATCCAATGCGCGATGTTTCCATTGCTTTTGACAAAGAAGAAGAAAAGTGTTTTGTAATGAGGAGAAAGTCAGTCATCTGAGGCATCCTGTGAACATGAAACATTTTGCAAATAGATGACACTTTACCTGCCAACTAGCATCCTCTCGCGAGGCGGCGTAATTAAACGATGCCATGTTTCAAGATGGCTGAGATGAGCGGCGGCGACTGTCAATTCAAGCCGTCTTGATGCTCAGGGGACGCAAATTGCGCTCCTCAAACACTTCAGTCTTTCAGAAGCGTTCGTCGACGCCGTACAAAAGACGCAATGAGCACGCAGGAATGCACCCGCTCGTAGGCATGACATAGAAATGCTCACGCTTGCAACCCGCGTGGGTGTTTATACACTCAAGCCAGCTCACTAATGAGTTAGCGACATCGTTCATGGGAATCTGCAACCACAGACGACATTCGTCTGATCAGTCCATTACATAAATTACATTGCAAAACAGAAGCGCTGCTTTTTATTTTTTTTTAATTTAAATGCGGATTGCGTCCTGCAGCCATACGACACGCACACATGAATGCATCACTCCGCAAAGAGGTCTTTTAACAGACCTCGGACAGACAAGTCATAGTCTTGAAAAATACCTCAAAAGTCTATCGGAGTTCAGTGCCTTTTAATGATATCGACAATTTTGTAACGATCTCTACCCAGCCGACAAAGCGGAATAAACCCCCCATCTGCGCGTCAGTAAAAATGCAGCCTATCCTTAAAGAATGTAGCTTTTATACTTGCCGATAATTTGGATGACTCTGCATTTACTGCAAATGGAAGAAAAAAAAATACAATGCAGGCTGCATATCATAAATCTTAATAATTGCAATGTCCTCTCATTTGTACTCTATTGGGGAGGATAAATCCTGCTGGATGTTAATCCTTCCTGGAAGCTTTAAACAACCCCGTATATGGAGAGCATGAAAAGTAAGTCAACTGATGGTCAGCACCCTCCTCAAACGGGCTTTGTTTTTCACTTTGTGTGTTTAATAGTCCCTATGCCCCAAATGGGCCACATGAAGCCCGCGGCGGCATTGAACCCGGATCTTCCGTGCAATTGGACAAACGAATTTGGAGGGTTCAGGCACAACAACTGGAAATGGCCTCAAATTGCACCTTCAGACTAACATGTCATCCTGCCCGGATGTTTCACTTCTTGAGTTCTAGATTGATTTTTGTGATCCTGTCATGATGAGCAGACTTAGACGTAAAAACATAAATAAATATAGCAAGTAAAAGCTCTCAAAAGGTGTTTGACTTTTTTGAAATAAAACAACAGTAGAACCTTGGAGGAATTGTGATAAGAAGCCACAAATCAATGAACTCACAACCTCTTTGAACATCATGTATCATCAACATTTGTGACAGAGTTGCATTCGAATTTTCATTGATTTGGTGTGGCCCTTGGATGACTGGTAGGAAAAAATTCTACAAACCCGATTGAAGTCAGCTCTTCTAAAATATTGGATTTTAAACTTTAATAAACTCTTGTTTGGCAGATTGCTTTTGGCCATCTCATTGGTGCGGCCTGCACGATCTTTGTTTATGATTGCTCTGCGGTCCCCCCACCCAGACAGTAACAAGGAACAGTATGACTCTTGAGGACAAAAGATGGCAGCAGTTGCTCAAATGTTTTTTTTTTTTTTTTTGTGTGTGGGCCCAGTAAACTGACTTTCTTCACCCAAATGGCCGAGACATTTTGTTTTTGAACTTGTGGAAGAATATTTGCATCTTCATAAAACTGAATATCAATGCTATGAATTGTTAATGAGACACATCCCCGGTTTGTGTGAATAGAAGGACATTTCCTGTGTATGAACAAGTTTGCAACAGGTCAGTGACGTCACATACAGTATAACATGATTTAATTAGGGCAACTGAACATTTTTATTTGGTGATATTCATGGATATATTTAGTGAGTAATTTTTTTTTTTTAAAGCATAAAAGATGGCTTAAGTGTGCACAACCTGACACTCTGTTGAAGCAGCATTTACTTTCATGACAGGATTCGGTCTTTTAGGGGAAGGCCTCTAAACTGTGACGACTTTTTACAAACATTGGTGCAATTCCTTACAAAAGTGCTCCAATATTAAGAATGACGAGGGCATTGCTTCAGCAAAAACCACCTTCGCGCCATCCCACCTATTTGCAATTGTATTTAGGTCCGGGCTCTGACTCTACGACTGCAAAGGTTTCATTTTCTTCAGGTGGAGCCATTCGTTTGTTGCAATCTACCAAAATAGCGTTGTGTATTTGCGGATGTTCTGAAGGCTTTTCAAGCCCCAATTCCAGTTTGAGAAACAACCACAAAACATGCTTCTCTCTGCTCATATCAAATTGGTATTTTAAGAAAGGTGTATCGACTCTTTATATTCAGTGTCATTGGATCTGTTACTCAAAAGAGTATTGTATGTCACTAAAAGTGTATACATCTCATATTGTTGCTCTAATCCGCAATAGGGCATCCACTTGGGATGATATGATGATGACATTTTCACCTCACGGCTCAGAATATCAGTGTTTATTCGCTGACCAAATCCGAGGAATAAAATGGGTTTAAGTGTAATTACGTCTCTAAAAAGGTCACACGCTAATAAGATCAGCAACTAACGAACATTAATGACTTTGTCCTTTTGACCCAAAGGGCTCACATTAAGGAGAGATTAAAAGCTCGCTCGTTATCATCGACTACCACCAACAGACACAATTGTAACTTTGGGCTTGTGTTCAGAATCTCCGACTGGCTGCCTCGACATCAGGAACACGTCTGAGACAAGCATCACATCTGAGCAGGACCACACCAGATCCTTTACATTTATTTAGCCTCATCACTTTACTTCCAGATAAATATTTGGAATATGTTTCACTTGCTTGGGACGAGCTCTCACACGCTTCACATTTTGTGTGGGTGTCTAACGGTTAAGGTGTATGTCGGCTAAAATATTTACCGTGCAGCATGGCAATACCATTTCAATTAACACAAAACTACATGATCATATTTTACTTTTTTTTTTTTACTTTTTTGCTTTTTTAACACCAGTTTCGTGTGTGTGTGTGTGTGTGTGTGTGTGTGTGTGTGTGTGTGTCTTGTGAAGGAGCACTGAGGCTGTTCCCCCTTGATACTTTAAGTCAAGAGCGCACGGAAAAATGCATTTTAATTCCCACTGTAACACCATATGAAATATTTATCTGTTGTGGAATATCGAGCCGGAACGGCAGGCCGTTACACATCATACGAACGATAAAGACTGCAACTCTTTCCTTTGAGTCTTATTTCAGGATCCAAACTTGCGCTACACTTCAGCACCACGGACAGCGACCACAGGCCCCCTTGACAATCTGAGGCTGCCACTAAACTCTCATTTGAATAAAAGATCTGCGCTTTGTCTCTACAATACAATATTGTTTATTAAGCGGGACATATATAGGGCTTCTTCTATTGTTTCCACATGTTACATTTCGTGAGCAACGTCACTGAACATTAAATCAGTCAAGAGTTATATGCGAATTCCGCAATGTAAAACACACTAATGTGAATAATGTACTTTAAAAATTATAGATTAGTTCTTTTTTTTAAATTTTCCCTCCAATAAAAGGGCTCTTCAAGTCAAGCCGTTTCCAGTGGCCTCTTCTTGTCATAAATAGCTCTTCTTCTTGTGGCCAAATTCGGCTTATTTTCACCATCCAAACGAAACACCATTGACAGCACAAACCAAACAAAAAATCCATTCGTGCAAAAGACGGCTTTGGGCGTGAAAGCGCTTCTCTCTCAGCTTGTCCATAATTCCAGAGACTTCACTTGGACGGAAAGCATATATTCTTTAAGGCTATACAAAACTTAAAATGGAGCATAACACACTCGTCGCCTCTTCCATGTCATGTCCTCTCTTCCTTTAATGTTGGCCTTTTTGGCAAAGTTCCCCAAGCCAGCAAAAATTCCAAACACCACGACGACGTCCTGACTGCATACAAGTTGATTGATGTGAATATTTGAATCTCCACGGTTCATACTGGACTAAGATAGTAGACGGATGTGAGGCGGAGGAGGAGCAGGAGGAGGAGGAGGAGGAAGAGGAGGAGGGGATGGGTAGTGGGAGGAGGATGGAAGAGTTTGAGGACATTCAGGAGTTTCATCGACTTCCTTGGCTGACAAGTTCTTTGAGTTTAAAATAAATTTCATGTTGTTGTTTTTTTTTTTGTTATTCTTCTTGTTGTTGTCGTCCTAAGCAGAGTCACATCCAAGGTCAGATTATAGAGGAAAGACCAGAAAGCCTGAGAAGGTGGAGTATTTCCATCCGCCCATGAGGGTACCTCGCTCCAGCTTCAGATAGACGCGGTCCTCTCGCTCCACCATCAGCAGTACTCCATTACTGGCCGCCTCCCTCGTTACGTCCTGGTCCCCTGCAAAGGCTGATATGACTGGGTAATCATTTTGCATCAGGTTTACCTGCGGGGGAGGATAAGAAAAGAGGGCGGGGTGAGATCGTTTTTTCCCCCCTTTCGTGTGACCTTACACTTGTTCTTGCATGCAAAAAAATAAATCACAAACGCTCACCTGAATGGTTTGTCTGTTGTAGACCTTCACCACATGGAAACTGAAACTGTAAATGCCTCTCCTTGGAGCTTGGAAAACACTCGCCTTCAGGTCAAAATGGTTGCCGATGTTCACTAAAACCTGGATACACAGACATTTTGTTATTGCCTGCGCCAACTGCTCCGGGTGTCATTCTGTGCGTCGGACGGGAGTTTGACTTGGTTCCAAATCGGTGCAAATACCGTCCACTCAACAGGACACAGTTTGTAAATATGCCTCAAGCCACTTGCTAATGAGTTGATACTAGCAGTGGGCTCTCCAAAACACATATTGCGAGAGGCTTAGAAAAAAAAGATGAATAATATAACAAATTCATCACCTTGAGGTGACTGCTTTGTGATTTTGCCCGGAATGAATGAAGGGAAATCAATGCTTAAATATTTTATACAAACAAAGCTCATTAAGTCAGACTTAGCCTCTAACAACGCTCAAAAGGGGTGATTTTTTTTTTTTTTGCGGGGGGGGGGGTGACGCACACATCCAACAGCCTTAAGGCGGCTGCTTCTTCCGTATCGGGTTAGATAAAAGTGAAAACCGATAGATAATCAATGAGGTATCACATTAAACTAGTTACAGAGGCATAAATGAAGTAAGTGTACAATCCTACTCGAAGCATAACTTTACACGTAAAAGGGCTGCTTGCAGCTTTCAACAAAACTAAAATAGCTTCCAGTTATTCAAATGTCTCTTTTTCAAGGATGAGGGGACATTATAATCGAAATTATTGAAATGAAATCTCTCATCAAACGCTCCTAGGCCGCGCGTAAAAAATGACATTCGACTTTTAAAATGAAGCGTAAAAGCTTGATTCCAGTTGCGGATGCTAAAATAAAAACATGGTCCCAGCGCCAACAGCGCTACTTTATCGTTCAAAACACAAAGTGAATTACTGAGAACAAGTGTAAAATATAACAAGTCAGATACGACGTAAAAAATCGCTCTAGTCTATGAACCAAAGGGTGAGTTTTACGCACAGCATTCATAAAATCAAAACTACCCCGTTAAACGTACAGCTTCATTTTAGCTGCTTTTTCGTGGTTTGAATGACACGTCCAAGCCAGTTACGCCGGGGGAAAAAAAAAAGATTTGCCTCTTTTTCCAATGCCGTTTTCACCTGGTCAAAGTAGATGGTCATGGAGGTGTTGCTCATCTCTGACGGCTCGTGGTTGGTTCCACGCACGGCTGAAAAAGCCACCTTGGCCCCGGCGGAGCGCACCGAGATGCCGAGAGAGGACGTGACCGCTCCGTCCGAGGAAGGGTTGGAGTCGCACACGACGAGACACTTCCCCTCCAGCACGATGGGCTCCGTGTCGTTCTGGCCGAGGCACAAAGCCACCGTGCACCCCAGGAGGAGGAGGAGGAAGAGGGCCAGTCCCGGGCAGCGCGCTCGCACCATGGTCGCTGATCCTGTGTTCCAAGCCGGCAGCCTCCGTGGAGGTTTCTTAGCACTCGATCACCTGGTGCACACTTTCCTCCCCTTCTCTCCTCCCTCTCTTCCTCTTGCTCGCTCTTAAAACACCCTCTGACTCCGCGTCTCCCCTCCTTCCTGCGCACCTTACTTGGCTGGTTTTCGGGAGGCAGCCTTTGCGGTCACACAAAGGTGGACGCACATCCTGAGAAATAAAACGAAATGTTTGATGTGAGACAAAATCCGAGGCGATCGTTGAATAGTTTTCATCAAGTCGCGAGTCAATTTGAGCGCGTTGTCTGTGCGTAAAATGTCGCTACGATCGATTTGTCGCCTACTTTGCAAACTGGGAAACATGTTTTATAGTGTGCCCAGCCTTTTTTGGGCAATCTAAGCTTTAAGTTGCACTTTTGAAAGGTTTCACGAGCAATTTAAGACCCACCTGCGCACTCCATGTTGCTGGTTCCTCCTCTGCCTCTCACCGACTGAATTGAGCGCTCAGATGTTGGTCCAAAGAAGGGGAGGGAGGAAAAAAAAAGCCAAGGTCTCCGGGCTCTCTTTCAATGGATAACTCACGCCCATTATTAGTTTCAACTCCTTACAAATGCGTCGGAACGAATAAGAACACGCGCGAAGTCAGGGCTTGTTTGTTTTGCTTTCTCACAAGTTGAGGGGGCGCATCCACTTGGACTCTCGGTGTGTGTCATTTATATACTGCTGCTGTCTCGTGTCTGTCTCTGATTAATCCGAAATCAAGGGTGGGGTGCGCGGGATAAGCTTGCCGATGCGCACCACATCCAGAATTCGCGTCCAGTGTCCGCGAACAAGTCGACGTTTCGCTCGCAGTCCGAATAGAGATGCTTTTGCGCCACCCAGTGGTTGCTTTGAGTTCCGCCCAAGTGGGAACCATTTGGTCCATGGCACATTCTCAAACCTCCCTTGACAAAATCCCACTGCTGAATTTTGAACGACGTTCGAAGAGATGAATTTTTTTTCAACCATGTGACAGAGTGTTGTAGAAATGCACTGCATCATCCACAGAGTTATCGTTTGCACTGATTCTGGTATCTTTTTTGTTTAGGTTCCATTTGGTTTTGTTCCCTGATGTGCCCTTTTTGGCTTCACCTGTTCTCGTCATCCGGGTCCCTTGTGTTGAACCAATCAGCTCCCTCAAGCCTTTGTGTCTTGTGCAGGTGTTTCTCGTTGTCTCATCACTTTGCTTGTATTTTAGTTCCCAGGATTCGCTCAGCCTTGGTTGGATCATTGTGAGTGTCTGCCATGTTTCGTTCCTGTCATCGTGTGTTTGCTGCTTTGGTTTCTTGTGATTTTCAGGACTTTGTATGAATATTTGAATTTTCCCGGTGAACTCCTGTTTGTATTTTTGTTCAATACATTTTGGTCAGTCCACCCTGCTCTTCCCCGAATCCCTGCTTTGTGTGATCTGATTACTGAGTAAAACCTGATGTAGAACCCCAATGCAAGTGATGTAGTCAAGGCCTTTTAATGAGCGACCATTTCCCTGTTTCGTTTCCCAGAAGCTCATACAAGACTGTACAGTGCAGCGTAATGTCTGTCCCTTTTCTGTGTTTTGACACTCCATCATTTAGCCACTTGGAAATGTGTGCACATGATCGTTTAGCGCCATGTGCAGATCTTGTTGTGCATGTTTGCGTGTGACAAGAGGAATCAAATGGGATCCGATATGCATGAAACCGCAAGCACGATTATAGGCGCCGAGTATCTCTTTTTTTTTTTTTTATAAGGCCAGAATGCTTGAATATTTATAGATCGGCACATTAGATGAAGACTGATACGTAGACATTTTCTGACACCGATGGGATTTTTATCCATGTGAGGAAGAAAAAAAATATCTATGTATCATTTCAACGATGACGTGTGGTTTGGGGTTTCAATCAAAGCATGGGTGTTTCGTTCATGCTTATGGATTGAGAGCCGGGAGGAAACTCCACTTTTCTCATCAAGGTTTGGAGGAGCATGGATGGTCTTGATATACAAGCCGCACGGTGTCCCGGTGCAAAGCTTCACATGGCTTGCACTGCAGAGAAAAAGGAATTTTCGGCTTAATCACAGTCCTCCTTCCCCCTTTCTCAACCCGATTTGACAAACGTTGCACTGTCAAGAGTCGACTGCCAAACCATGCGGAAGAGTGACATCAGGTATCCACGAGCCACAACTGACCCGAGGCCTTCAAGAAGGACACATAGCAATGGAAAAACATCAAATGTCACGTAGGGGGGACATGCAAGCAAAAAAGGGATGTGGCCTATATGGCATTAACATACCAGGGGCAGCCGTTGCCCTAAAAGAGGGGCCGCACGTCCTTCAGGAAAGCTGATTGGCCAGACTGACGACCACATTACGCTTATTTCCCCTGACAGCTAGCAGTGCCTACTGGCTTCCAGGAACGGGGAGGTCGATGATGTGCCAGCTCTTAAAGCGAGCCATCTGCCTTTTTTTTTTTTTTTGTATGTGTGTATGTGTGAGGAAATGACTCAGCCTACCATGGGTGGTTTGTGTTTCTATCTACACATTTCTTTCATGCAATGAGTCCACATAGGGGTCAGATGTGGCCTGATGACTCATGATTCCCTGTGGTTGTTCGGGACATATTGTCCAGTGTGTGTTAAATGCAATCTGATGCAATCAAAACATCACGCATAAAGAAACATTACATCTACTAAACGGCACATTCACTGTTGGCACGCCCCTCCATATCCATCTGCCTTCCCGTCCATCTGTCAGCTATAAATATCTCCATATAGTAGGTCTATATTCACATGTAGAATTAGCCCAACTTGTCATTTTGGCCTGAAAGAAACCCTTAAGTGGCATGAAGAGTTAGTGTGTCATGGGTCTCTTACATCACTAGGTGTGAGCTCCTTATGACATCAGCGTGACCGCTTCCTCCCAGGGGCTTCAAAATTCCACTTGTGCCACTGTAGAGGTGACAAACTAATTGAGTCAAGCTTCCATACTCATATGATTGTGCGTCAAAATATGTCTTCTACTTGGTTTTTGAACTCGTCTTCATGAATGGCATCACAAGCCTGGCTCATTTAAGATGATTATCGCTGCCTATTAGGCATTCTGCTGAAGGCCACTGATACTGTGGTGGCTCTCAGTGTGACTTGAGTGTATTCAATTCACCCATTCACAACTTGAGTCCACTTTTCCCCTCAAGTATGCTGGCCTGCAATCCATTTCCTGATTAGAGGCTGAATGGATGGACTTATTATCATCGGTTTTGCACGATCTTGACAGCATTTGCCAGCATTTCCCTGTAAACTGAGTCGCAATGTGTAGTTTAGTTTAAAGGAGAGATTATTTTTTATTTTATTTTATTTGATGTTTTTGCTGGTGAAAAAAAGTTGCTTTTAATTGTCAAGATGTAAAACCGTCCCACATCAGTTATCTCCGTACCGACTGTTCTGCAGTCTTTTCCTTGCAAATATTTGCTGTGATTCGCGGAACGGAATTCTTTCAAAGGCACCGCTTGTCGGCCTGTTGTTTTTATTTTTACTTTTTGTGAAAGCTTTTTTTGAAGCTGCAAGTCAATATAGTTTCCGGAAATGTCATTCGGGCAGTGCTAATTAAATGGAAGGTATGATGCATTCACAAAAGTGGAAACTCCGAAATTTCTCACCGGTATCGTTCCAGTTCCGACCTCAAAGCGTTCGAGGCGAATGGGAACAATAAAGATGGATTATTCCGGTAGATTGTTTATTGTTATAAAGCAAACTATCTTCAAAAATCATGGGACTCCCGGTTGAAATGTTTGCAAAAGTGCGCAATTGGAAAGCTGAAAATTCTGATTTCCTACCTTCTACGAATGCAACACTACACTGACGTTGCTACGGCGACAGGACGCCAGTGGGGAGAATGTTGTTTTCTCGGTTTTCTTCACATGTCTAAGTTCATGAAGACTTCGGGTCAAAGTTTTAAAGGCGGTGTCCGACAAATCGTCTCTGCAGCGTGAAACCATTGCTTGCCGTCATAAATGAAGCGCTGCAAAATCGGCGAGAGAAGTGCAAACATGTTAGCATTCAAATCAACGAGGTTCCAACGAGCTCACAAATTCCCCCGAGCATCCCTTGAAAACTTTATAGAAAGGTAACATGCGCGTATTTCTCAAATCATTTTCTCTAATTGAGTCTTCTAAGTTGTTGTGCCAGTATTAACCACTGTTTACTACAAATGCCGAGCTAATGTAGTGTGTTCATTAAAGCCCCACTAGGGAGTAAGTAGTTATGTCACCATGTCAAAGTAAATGTGCTACTGATTGTATTCAGATCACATGAAATTGTATTACCTTTGTGCAGTTCACTTCATCATTACATATAGTCAAGGGGATATGATAAGCCTGCCAGTGGCACGCAAAAGAACAGCAGGAAGAACAGCAAGTGGCATGAAAACATCCCTTTTTTCCTTCGGGTTTTGATGTTCTGGTACTTTTTTTTGGTAGATTGCCATACGACATCCAGAATAAGATCCTCTCCTACCTGGATGCTGGCGCACTCCTCTGCGTCAGCCACGTCAGTAAGACCTTCTATCAACTTGCCAATGATGAGTAGGTATTATCACACACACACACACACTGTGCATGAAAAGGCAACCATGTTACAAATCCACTCTGAAGAGGATTTCAGGATTCAATGCAATCGTAAAAGACGAGCGAGGAAAAAGCAGGGTCTGGGGAACCTTTGCGGAGATAATTAGAATTCAACTCTGCAGCTCCCTTCAGATCATAGTTTTGATGTAGGCTATTTCCATAATATGACATCAGTGTCACGGCTAGTTTAGTGCCAATATCAGTTATAGAGCAGGTTGTTGGTGTTAGTGGAACATTCGGAAATGAAGATGGAGAACCACAACAAATGTCTTGCATACATACTGCATGTGACACTTTTTGGCATTACCATTGATTCATTTCCCTTCTTACCAACACAACCAATGCAGGGTCTTATGGAGGAATATATACAAGCGGCTGCTGAGCAAGAGGCCAATGAACATGGTCGGGGAGATGCTAGAGAAGAGCACATTGGAGGCCGGAGATCAACCTTGGGGTTACTGGAAGCTACGCTACTTCAAAGCTCTTGATGCGTGGAATAAGAGGAAGTGGAAAACACACAACGGAGTCATCAGTCGTCACACAGGGTTGCCCAGTCGCGCAGTTCAGATGCTCCGGTAAGACAAAGACTGCCTATGACAATAAGTGTTCAAACATATGAACTACTGTCATCCCCTCGCCATTTCACGGTTCACATTTTGTGGTCTTACCAGTTTTTATGACTGTTTCTCGTGGCTGCAAAGTGATCAGACTACTTTTTACATCCCTTTGCATGTTATAATGGGAGCCTAAATAGGTAGGACTCCAGTTCATCGTCTGAACCAAACTCTTTTTGTAACGCAGATACAACTTTATTGTCATTGCTTGGTGATGAGGGTCACCTGTTTGGAATTTTCCTTTGTAGAACTATTAACTAGGTGTTAGATTTTCATTCCATTTTAGAGCTTCCATTTAAGCGCTAATAGTGATAGCGAGTTTAAACATGATTACATTGAAGGTGAATTATTGGCAGATTTTGTGCAGAACATTTGACCAGATTACCGAGGGGGCGGGCGGAGTGCTGCTTGGTATGAATACTCAGAGGTACAGTATTTCGGCATCCGTGATCGGGGGTTGGGCTCCTTCACCGCCTCCCCGCTAACTCTCTGCTGGGTTGGCGCAACCTTTGATTAGAGACTGTAAAGTGCTCCATTTTGACTTCCATGCCGGTTGCTGTGGTACAAAGGGGGAAATGGAAATAAGTGTTTTCCTTGTGGAGGCTGTCTGAATTGTTGAAATAAATGACTTACCCGCGCCCCCTCCCGACCTCTCATCTGGAACACATACAGTAGTTTCTCTCGCTTCCTTCCCCACCAAGTCAGACACTCCCCCTCGGGGTTTATCTGTTTGAGACACTCCGGAGCGTGCGATTTACCTTCCTAATAAGCATTTCAGAAGACATCACACATACAGACAATGGCAGGCCAAATCCCCATCGTCATCTCGGTCCTCACAGGTTGCTCCAGTTTTTGCCTTTGTTTCTCCCTCAGCGAGGCACAAGCTAAAGCACAATAGGAACAGTCCCTGAGCCTCACTTTAGACTGAAACAGACAAAGAAATTCATCAGAGCTGGTGATTTTTTTTTTAAATGTCATTATTGGATTTTATTCCACTCGTAATTTCACCGAAGTTCCTTGACTGCCGATAAAGCAAACAGAATAGCCATTAACACATTTCCATCTCTGTCCGGAATCACCCAAACCTGCTGCACATCCTTTCTATCTCTATCTCTTTGTCTGGCCAACCTGCAAAGATGTTTCTCCCCTTCTTTACGGTCCAACTTGGCATACTGTACATGTCAACACATGCTTCTTTTTCGCCTTTGCCACTTCTGCATTTGCTCTGCATCGCATCCTCTTGTGTTTCTTGTCTCCTTTACTGATTTCTGTCAATGCCTCACTCCTTCTTAGTTCAGTGCCAGCCATTTTCAGACCCTTTTTTTTTTTTACTCTAACATTTGGAAGATATATATAAGTGAGCAAGCCTGCAATGTAGTGTGCAAATGTTTACGTGTATGTGTGTGCAATGAACAAAAGGAAAAGAAACAAGAATTGCATCCGCCATGTATGTCCTGTCAATCCGTCCAAAGGGAGACAAGACTTAAAAAAAAAAAACTGGACACTGCACATAATGCAGATTTAGCCTAATGCTCTAAATGAAAGTTGTGCCATCCTAGAAACGTCACCTGGGAGCTGACCGTCACGGACAAATCCAAAAATGAAGTCACATACGATCTCAGCTGGCTCCGGTTCTTTGAGACCTCTGCGGTGCTGTGCTGGAATGGAACCCTCTGGCCTGACTTCCATCAGATTTCCACCATTCAGCTCCACGGCGTCAGCAGAGTAGCCCTCAGCTGCCCCGGACTCAAGGCGTAAGGCAGTCCGCATCCATTTGAATCCAACTGCCACTCCGGCGCATCTGCTCTTCACTATGAAATTGATTGTCGTCTTCTTGCTCTGACAGACCTGGCTGGAGGTCGCTCATGGATGTGGTGGACATGCAGAGTGTGACCAAAAGCATGCAGGACTATGGCCAGGACCAACTAGTTGAATTGAAGCTATTAAAGCCCGACGTTGTCATGGGGCTTTGGAGGGTATTTGTTTTTTTTTTTTAATCTCTATAAAACGGATGCGGTTCCTCACAAAGCACTCAACCCAAATGTGTCATTTGTGCTTAATTGAGAATTGTATTTTATTTAGACACGGTTTCATGAAAGGTGGCAAAGAAAATAGAACAAAATGACCAAAGGGAAAAAAAAAAGCATCCGACACGGTTGGGGAATGTTGGGATAAACATGGAGAAAAAAAAAGGATCCAAAACAATCGCAACAACAAGCTCTGAAGGATTTGAGCGGTTTGATTGACAACTGTGACTGCTTAGACAGAGACAAGTAACATCAGCCTATTTGTCCTTCTTCCATCCGAGCTTCTTGCTCTGACATCACATCATGCCTGCATGTTTTCACAGAAAGGATCGGTTGGAAAATATGGCCCCTTTCTCCAAGGTTTCTGCAAAATTAGGTTTAGCTACCAACCAAAATGCAATTCTGCAGTCACATAAGCTTCGGCATGTGGTGTGGCAAATCAAACACGAACAGTGAAAATTGTTTTCAATGTAACAACTTTACCGAAACTCTCTTTCCCCCCTGCACCCTCCCTCCCCCTTTCACTTGCCTTTAACACCCTCCGAAGCTGGGCAGTTACAGGGTTGCCTTCGTTCTCCCCACATTATTCTGTGTCAGTACCTTTCACACAGAACAGCAACACAGAAAAAAGCCTCGGTCAGACAGCTTTGACGAGCGGTGTAAAAGTTTTAGAACAGAATCGGATAACTCCTGAAAGGTGCAAACTAGGATAATTGTGTGTTGCACAGTGATGAAAACTAACACGTGCATTTGACTGAGCCAAGTGGGAGTGATCGTTTTAAGTGAAGAAGGAATCTGCATGTAAAACGTTGGAAGTATTCTTCAACCCTCGAAAGAGAAGTCAACGAAACGATGCTGATTTGAGTCTTCTGTTCACAGGACCAGCGCAGTGTTGCCTTCGTCACGTTCACCCTCCACTTGTACATGCTGCTGGAGAGAAGTACCCAGGGATCTTCTCTTAGGTGGGCTAACACCTCTTTTTTATTTTCTCTCATTTGTCCTCATCAGCTTGGCCCAAGTTTGGTCAATCTGGCATTTTCCTCTTTCTGTCAAGACGAAATATTGACTTCAAAGCGCCTTACATGGCTACAAACGGTTCCGGCTGTATTACAATGAAGCGTAAGCCACCATCGTTTAAAAAAAAAAAAAATGGAGTGACCTTTAATTTCAACACAAGCGTTGTAATCATAAAATGAAATAGTTCAGTCGTCTTGTCATTCTTTCCAGCAGCATATCTGACAACTGCTCTTACGTGTGCACATAGCTCCCTCTACTGGCCTTCCGTGAGAACACGTTTAAGATGTATCATTTTCTTTTCTGTAGTCCCTACGTCGAGCGTGTGCTCGAAGCCCCATTTGATGACATCGATCCTGATTATGGTCTCCACGGATACCAGCTACACATAGTTCTCCACAGCACTGAATGCGAGATCATGTCTGCAAGTTTCTCTCAGTTATTCTGCCGAAGAGGTGATTTAAAAAAAATTTTTTCATGTTATAGGATACGCATAATACAACTTGAGGTGTGACATTTGCAAACTAACATAAGACCAAATAAACTCTGCAACAAAAATAAATAATCATCATCTGTTGGCTGTGAACATCCAGTATCATGGTGTCTTTCAGATCAGATCTGCGATGGCCATATCCAACTTCCTGCCATTAACGACAGCTGCTTTTCAAAGCACGCACCTTTATCAGGAAATGTCACTCTGCCCTGGAGGTGCGAGGCCTTGCGAGGCGAAGTCAAGGTGCCGCTTTGTCACTTTGCTGTCTCACTTATTCTGGAGCCACTCACTCACTAATTGGCAGAAAGTTCCGAGACAACCAAATGGAGATTTTAATCAGATGAAAACAAAGAATTGTGTGCCAAAGATAAACTTTATTTTGTTCACATTTACTGATCATTTATTGGCATCCAACCAGTTTTTCTGTGTTTTCAATTCAATTTCAGCTGTATTTAGAAGCTATTCAAGGTTTTCACAAGCGCAGACAACTATCATTGACAAATAAAACATGTTTGAACATTCTAGAAAGGATGCATATATTGTTAATATGTAATATGAATAACTTACCTAAAATAGCTTGGATTACACATTGATCATCCATGTCACTTTCCATCAATTTACTGTATGTGCCAACCCTCCTATACTACTCGTCTATTGCCGTTTTTTTTTCTTTCTTGTATACGATGATCAAGTGAAATGTGAACGTTTTTAAGGCTGGAGACGTTGTAAACGGGGTACGTTGAAAAGAGGTTCGACGGTCTTTCAGTCACATTTCAATCAAATGTTATGAGGCTTCTCCAAATCACTCATTGAAAACCGTCCCCAAGAAATTCATAAGTGGGTCCTCCCCGCGAAGGCTCGCGTGCTCCTAAAAGTGAATTTGTACAATTCGCCCACAGTCACATTTTAACACACGTCTTCTCTTCCTCAGAATCGCTGTATCATGAGCCTCACTCTTCTCGATGAGTTCAACAGACCCTTTTGGTGCGTGAGCTCACCAGTTGCCCTGAAGCACCCGGAGATGCCGTTGTCGCTTTTCCATGCCGCGGAACACTTCCTCATCCACTATCAGGACGCTGAAGGGCAAGTCGTGATGAAATTTGTGCAGATGGAGGAGCAGAAGCAAATTTTCCTCGTCGGCTTAGTAGTTTACGTGACAACCTGCAAAGTCAACAAGTACTTCAGAAAAGAATACTAGGCAGAGAAAGCTGTTCTGATTCTACTAACCGTGCTTAGTATAAGGCTAACCATGGTGATATCTGCAGTTTTGAGAGCCATGCAAAAGCATTGCACATACACACACACACATACAGCCACCATTCATCACTCAGGAAGCGGACCTCTTTGAACACCGCCTCGATTTGACCCACTTGTATTATGTCATCATCTCTCCATCATGAGGCCACCTTCAATACCACACCCATTAGTGATGCTCGCCGTCACTTTGGCTGGGCTTTTTCATATCTAACTAGCCATAAATGTCCAAAGCAAATGAAATGATGTATTGTATTTCTGGCATGCCTGCATTTTAACATGAGGACATTTCCTCGGAAAGCCGCCAAATGACTTGAAAGTGGCTGTGTCGTCGTATTTTAAGGATATCATGAGGACATTGACTTTGTAGTCGCTTTCAGATGTGGCAGCCGTTTTGAGTATGCCGTCGCAATGTTTGTTGCCTCATATGATTTTGTTTCTCTATGAATCGATTGTCCATCACAGTAAAAAAACAAAACAAACTAACAGAATAGTATGCATATCGAATTGGTTGAAGCAGTTTATTAAGCAGTATAGAAAATGGATGGCCCGATTTTCTTTTCCTCCTAGCTCATAATTTTAATTGGAATCTCATTGGCAATGTGGTTTACTTCTGAGGAGCGATCCTGGAGGAAGAGGAAGAAAATGACCACACGAGGGCAGTAAAGCACTTTGTGGCTGTCACCTTTTGGTTTGAGCAAAAAAGCAACAGCAAATTTAGTTTTTTGTTTTAAATTTTTTTATCCAAAGACAATTCCAACACTCTTTACAAAAGAATAAAAATGAACAGGTCAGAAGGTCAAGGTGACAGTCATTAAGAACATTGTTCTTCACATCATCGATTATTCTTAAAAAAAAAAATAAAAATCTTGTCAACAGAACATGTATGTTAATATTAATCGTCCCTGAGATGGGTCAAGAATTGGCAGCAACAATGATGCCCACGCATTGCTATTTTTTTTTCCCTACAAAGTCATTGTCAGCTTTTGAAACGACAAAAGAGGTCAGCTTCCCAGACTGTTGGACAAAGATATCTTCATATTTGTATCTACTTAACACTATTTCCGCACATACCATACTTAATAAACATGAATCTTATCTTACATCTTATTTTGGAGAAATCGGCTCGTGTTCGGATAATGAACCAATGCTTCTGGTGGTGTCAAAAACCGGTCATGTGCTCCTGAAGTTGCTTTGTTTGCCACATTGCAAAATGATACGGTCAACTGGCAAGGCGTGTGGCTCCAATGTCTGCAAAATGTTTCGACGGTTGATCCATGTGGCTCGACCTTCATTGGAAGACAAAGGACTTTTTTCTGATTGGCGTACATATTCTCATGCATGTCCTCCTCCGCTGACGTTAGATCAACCTTGTGAATCGGAACACGTCTCATCTGATAATTTGAGCGAACACTTAAGAGGACAGCATTCATCAACGTCAACGGGCTTTTTGCCGGTTGTGCATTTCTTTCTACGTATGCCCAATCCCCGTATCACCGTTCCTGTGTGTCCAGCAGAACCCTGTGCGGCCTTCGCCACCTCAGCAGTGCACAGTCTTCTCTGTCAAGGTTCTAAGGCACCGCAAGGAGGCGGCCAACTACCAAGCGCGCACTTAAAACGGAAGACAACAAACAGCAAACAGGCCTTGGCCATAGTTTGCTTTCACTATGAGGTCTCTGAACTGGATCGATTCCCCTCAGCCAGCTTCCCAGAAAATGACACAACCAAACACACAGCCAGCTTCCCAGAAAATGACACAACCAAACACAGGTTAGGAAAGTGACATTTTGCAGGGACAACACAAAAGGGAACAGGAACGATTACATTTTACAAATGTTACGTACGCTTTGTTGGCCTAGACCGAAGTCCCCATGAGTTGAAATCATGGTACAATACTGGTGTTTGTTTTGTTTTCCTTTTTAATAGACTATGCACCTGGGATGTGCAATTTCCTCTTTGCTCTCATATATCTATCTATCTATCTATCTATATATATATATATATATATATATATATATATATCTGAATTGTGTTCCAGTACTTGAACCATGCACTGTCAGTCCAATTAAAAGTCCCATTTTAACTGAAATATGCCAACATTCGCTCCCAGACGTGAGGAAATGGGTCATGGTCTTATAAAACTAAAGTTGACCTCATTGATAATTTGCAAATCTATGTTTGGCAAACACACAACATTGCTCATCCGCAACCATACTTCTAGTGAAGCATGCTGGTGGTTTAGTTCGCATTTTTCGAAATGACGTCTCTTTGTCTCGTGGCATTTGAGCAGAGGTGCGCTGGCTTTTTTTTTTTTTATAACCTCTGTAAATAGGGAGCCTCCCCCTTGAGATTATGATCAGTCGCTGGAAATGTTCTACTCGTTTCTGAGAGAACTCGAGATCGTGCCCCTATAAAACCAGAGAGACAAAGTTGGTTGTGTTTCCACGACCACTCATCAACTCTCAGTGTCTGTCCTTTACGATGTAAGCCTTCCGTACGGCACCACAAAACGTCAGCCTGTGTACACACGGGTCGTTTGAAACCAATTTCAGATGTGTCAGAGGAAGTGATGCCGCACGCCTCTTTGTGACAGTTTGAGTAGAGCGGCCTCGTCTCAAAATCACCTTTGGTTACTGAGGAGAGACTATCGCTTCTATTTGAAATGCTGTTTCGCAACCGTCAAGGCAGTCGTGCATTATTATTCTTGCTATTGTCATTAGTAGCAAGCTAAAGCACAATGACTGTAACCAGTTAGGCCGATGACTTTAGTTTTTCCTCTGCATGATGAAAGATTTTTTATTTTGTGTGAGATTGTTTTAAATTGGTGTGAATGAAAATGATCATGCCTGTTTTCCAGCCAGAACCTGTGAGAGGTCCAGAAACCTCTTGTCCAAATAAGTGTATATTTTAATTTGAAAAATAGTTCTTCGCCTCACATTGGTCTCTCCTCCAATCAAATGAGACTAGTCGATTTCTGCGTTTCAAGATCATTCGGATCAATTTTGGAAATGTACGGTAATTGGAGCCTGACATCACCTCCAAATCCCAGGTGGCGGCTACGCTATCTGCACAAAAACTATTCGGCGCACATAAAAGAAGAAGGTCTGAAGACGAGTGTAAAATCTAAAAAGGTTGCGGTAATATATGCAGGCCTTCTGCTCTGTTGCATTAAAATCCATTCCTCGCTGGGTGCCCATTATAATGTGTCTCGTGAAAGCGTTCGCTTGCAGAGTGTTCCCGCAGAGCATAATATCACGGAGGAGCTGTGTTCTGATGACAGAAAGTGCCCCCCCTTCCCCCAACCCCCATAGGGGCTCGTTCAGTGTATTCCTGAATAATTACCTGAAAGTGATCAAAGAAAATCAATGGATTGCAGTCACTCCCGAGAGCTCCAAGCAAAGCCTTGGATTGTCACACTATGTACCAATCCGTCCAGCTCTCTTGAACGAAAACTCGACATTTCCATACGTTCTAAAAAGTTCACAATTCATCAAATCCGTGGCGGCACGCAAAACCGCCTTAGTATCCCGATTTTCGTACGAACGCACGGCTCCATGCGTGTTGATGTCGACTCTTGTCTGCCATCGTATTCAATCATCTTAAACCTCCCGCAGATTATTGAGTTACGTCACTTGTCACCCGAATGTCATCACGCCTTTGAGAGATGATTTGGTGAGTGTTCAATGTCACAGCAAGAGCTGTCTTTTGTTTTTGGAGAAGGGCACACGATGTTCAAAGAGGCTCACAAAGATGCATCATTTGAAGTTCTCCCATGTTCCTTGTATCAAATTTCAGCTGGGATAACCGGTCCATGTCACACCAAGGAACCACAGGGATGGTGGGGGGGACCCAAAGATACTATTGGGACTCCAGTTGTCATGTTGACTTCATTTGTCTCATTGCTCATCGACGATTGGTTCTTCGTACAGAGAAATGAGGGAATGGCGCGGCGAGCAGAGGTTTTGACATGAAATGATTAACAGCAGCCAGAACATGTCTCGTGGGATTTGTTTCTAAGTTTGATCTTATAAGTCTTAACAAGGGAAGGCAGCCAGCGCAGATCACGGGAGCTCATCAAAAGATTTACGCTGCGTTGCCACAAAAATGCAGGCACCTCTAAAACAGGAGCGTATAAAGGCTTGGTTAAAAGGTGCGCTTGCGGAAATGAAGTTGATGCGCAAAGGTACATGGGATGCAAAGGAACGCAGAGGCAGTGCAGCCTCCAGTATGTGTCTGGCAGCACGTCAAGCAGCTGCTCAAGTGTTCCTCCAGCTTGAGCGAGCGTCCGACAGTTGAACCTTTTAATCTCCCTCAGGAAGTAAAGTGGAAAAGAAAAAAATCCCGCGTGGATAAAAAAGCGTCTTTTAAAGTGTTCACCGACAGGAAAATTATTTGTTTTAAGTGCGTGAAGTAAGAGTCCAATCTCATTTTGTTCATACTCTTGCTTTGTAGTTTAACCTTCGGGTTCTTACAAAGAGGCTACTTGTCTTTCACACAAGCAGGTTGGCATTGATTAAAAGACCGACTTTGTTATGTTAATGAAGTCAGAAGTTGGATGTACAGAAGAGTCTTTTTTTTTTAACAGATAAGCTGCGGGCGCCACTTTAGGAATGTTTGGAGAGTTTATGGCCATTCATCCAGAGATCAGTGATTGTAATGTTCCTCCGAAAGGTGTTTTACTGGGTTGTCAAGTCCAGTTTTTCCAACAGCAAACACGTCCAAGCCTGCAGTTTTTGCGTCTGCCTCACAGTTCTGGTTCTTGCGTTGGTTTTCTGCGGGTACTTCCTCCCAAATGTCAAAATTGAGCATGTGAGGGTCATGCGACTGTATTTTAATGCTGGACATGAGAGGCCTACATTGTTCGATACATAAGCCGTCATCAAATCCGTGGAGAGTAGAACACCGGGGTGGCTTGCGTATAAAATCTCAATGTTTTGCCGCTCGCCGGCGGCTGGTAAAAGGCGTAAAAATGACTGTCAGTAAATCCCTGAGGCGTTACAATGTGCAGATGTGCAAAAGAGTTGTGCTATCTCAGGAGGAGGAGATTTGACAGATGTTTAATGCAGCACAGTCCCAATGTCAGGACGCAGATAACAAAACACGCAAACATTCAGAGCAATCTGCCAGTTTTATTGGCGGAAAATGCCTGACGGACTCACCGATAACCTTGAACAACCGAGGGGGTTGCATGGCCGCCAAAATCGTCTCTTTGAAACATGAGCAGCATTTCTCTCGCAGCCATTCTCTTCTCCTGGTGTTACAATGAACGCTATTGATCGCCGGCTCTTTATTTAATAATGTTACCTCGCTGCCTTGACATGGTGAATAAAGACGGCCGCTTGACATGCCTTGCCACACTGATGAGCAATTACGAGAAAGTCATTCTCTTGTTTTTTTCCCCCCACCTCGGCTAATCGTCTTGTTTGCATGCATCTTGAACTTTTTCTCATCATGCATCTTTGATATTCTTTCGAGTGAATTTGTATCACCATTTTAATTCTGAAGGGGGTAATACGTTGGCAGGAAGAGCCCGATGTTTCCATGGAATCCAATTTGAGGCAAAGGCTGGAGATGAGGGTACCGCAATATTCGCAACATGAGGCCAGGCTTTCATCCCCGCTGCAACAAAGACTATACTGTCGAGTCATTTTAGGTCTAGTGTCTTTCAGCCATCAACTGCTGGGGCGCTTTATTTATTCCACTGCAGGGGCATGAATCTACTTGTACTTTGCAATTGATGTCAAGTGAAACTGGAGTACGAAACAAATTATGTGGGACTATTATCGAGAAATCCGGCTCACGTCAAGAACCTTCAATGGAAGAATAGGGCGCAGAGCTCGCCGGACCACAAATAGCGACTGTGGCGAGGGCACATCAGTCTACTGGAATACGAATGGTCATGAAAAATATCACCCGCAGAACACGAGATCACCTTTACGAGCCGTTCTGATCATTTCTATGTGGTTTGGCGTTTCAGTTTCAATGAGCCCGATTGAACAGTTCAACTTTTTAACATGGGCAACAGCGCAAGACCCTTGGGGAATTAATGCCTGCTGTGTTTTTATTTTGCCTTGATGTGAAATGGGCGGCATCAAGACGGAGGCGTTGATTGTGCATGTGGTTGAGGCACACCGCTACTATTTGGTGCAGGGCAGTTATTAGAGGGACGGCTGCTTCTGAGCAACGACAGCGGATGATTATCAGGTCACAGTGCACTCAGAGTGGCTTTGTGCGCCTCCCAAGTAAATCTCTTGTTGGATTTGTTTTAATGGAGGCAAACTATCTGACAAGATGCTCATCTCCTCCTCGTGCAGGGCGAGGCAAAGTGATTCCTCTCCGATTCCACTGTCACGCAATGCAGGCCGACAAGAGGCATCGCGGCACAAAATGACCGATGCAGCTCCACGCCAACGAAGCGTCAAGTGAAGGTATTGTAAACAGGAGGAGGAAGAGAAACTTGTTGATGAAAGTTGAATGATAACATTTGCGCTGCGCCTCCCGGATGGAGAAATAAGTAGAAGGAAGGGCCAAGTGGTTTGTGGGATTCACCTGTGAGTCTATTGATAAGAAAGTCACTGTTTACAAACTCTAAAAGAAAAAGAGCAGTAGGTACTAAGAGATTCATTCCATATTTTGTTTTTCCACTTGAAGTGATTCTTGCACAGGGCTTATGAAAAATAGAACTTTAAAACTGTCACTGAGTATTTTGGTTCCCATAATTAGAATGTCACAAATGTTAAGATCATCTCTCAATTGTTTTTTTCCTTTTTTTAACCACTATACACTACAATAATGAAGGTATTAATCACGGTGTGAGTACGCAGTTCGTATACACTTGAGGTACATGTTTAAAACCGTTTTGTGGTTTGACGGCAATAGAAAGCCCAATACGGGGTTTAGAACCAGCACTTCTGCATAAGCGCATGTCAAGTCAGTTGCCACGGCAACATACAAGACGTTTTTCTTGGAAGTGAATGAAGGGGGAAAAAAAACCCCGCGCACAGCTAAGGGTTATGTGGTGTGTTGCCGTTGTGGTCCTATATAACAAATTGTATCAACAACAGGTTTGCCTTCAAATAACGCTCAATTTGACTTTGGGCAATGCCCATTACCATTACATAATGTTTATTATTGGCTGTAGAGTATGCTGTGAGCATTTTCTCTGTGATGCCTTTCTTTCTTTGTGACCACAGCTTTGAAGCCCTTATGACTTCGGTCGTGTCAATATTCTGGTTCGTTGATTGATTTTATAGAGATGATGAGTCATCAGAGCGAGGCGGGGTTCTCCAGGTGGCGCATTCCTTCAACAACCATCTGCTGAACTCTGCCGGCTAGACCGTCTGCAATACCGAAAGGTTCTTCATGTGCAAACGGCAAAATGAATGAGGTGCAGAAAATGAGCCTTGAGAATGGGCAAGCGGTGAGTTTATCTTTTGACATGGTGCAACATTACTGGTTGTTCTGGATTTATTCATCATCTGGATTTATTGAACTAGAAGTGCCTTTAAAAGGTTTCAGCTTTTTAGGGTACGTAGAGGCGACATTCTTCAGTATCATAAACAATGCTCAGCAAAATGCAATTTGGTATGCTGCAGACACGCACTTGTAATTTTCTCAAAATAGGAAATGGCTTCGTTTCTTTGACATTATTAGTCTTGCAACGTTGAGGGTTTTTCACACGAGCTTGGCTTCTGCTTCCTGGAGATATGTTGTTGAAAAATGAACAGCCGGTATTGATTGAGGGGCGTGACGGCAAAGAACTAGCCCTTAATTCAAATTTGGCAGTCATATCATGTCAAAGTGAATACATCAGACCTTTATTTTTGTCATCTCACTGTCGTGAATCAAGTGATGGCATTTTCATTTTGTTCAGTGCGCTGTAGGACTCACTTGTTAATGAACATAGACGGCGTCTGTAAAGTACCATTGTGTCATTTCAGGCACAGCGACATAATCACGGTGATACCACGGAGGAAGTTTGTCACCCATCCCAACAAAATGGTCACGTCTTTGGTGAGAGCTCTGCTCAGGCAGATGGAGGCGCTGCCCCGCGGGAGCGCCAGGAGGGACATGGCCGCCATAAAGTTACGGAAGACGAGAACACACGGGAGATGGAACAAAAGCTCAAGGAAAAAGACGAAGCGATAAACTGCCTTCTTCACGCGCTGACTGACGCCGAGATGGTCACCGCGTTTGTCAGCAAGTCGTGGATGGAGGCTTACGAGCAGCTCAAAATGACCTATGAGGATGACTCCAACAACATGGTGGCAGCCCTAAATGCGGAGTGGCAGAAGTGGTGGGCCTACAGAGAGCAGGAGACGGCCGACCAGTTTCAGACTCAGTGGGAGAACATGCAGTGGCACATGGACGATATGGCGGCCCACTTCCAAACCGCGCTCGACGTCATGCAGAGGCACAATTTAGAAATGTCTGCGTACTTCAGAAATGGAATGGAGAGACTCCAACAGCACATGGGCCGGGTCATCCAGGAAAAGGATGACTTGATTGCAGAATTGAGAAGGGAAAACGGCGTTCTCGTAGCCGAGAACGGAGAGGTGTCGCAGGCGCGCCATTTTGCAAATGAGACCCCGGAAGAGCAACAAAGTCTTCAAGCCTCAGAGGGCTCCCTGAGGGCGGAGCAAGAGGCGACGATAGCCTTTGTTAAAGCTGCCGAAGTAACGGGTAGCGATCCAAACCTGAATGCACAATGACGCACGTCGCTTCCAGTGGGACTCGTTGGATCTTAGAAATGCATGGACAAAATTAGTCATCCATTCACACGGGTGCAAGCTAATGAGTCATACAATGAGATGCCGTTTCCAAAGGAGACAACACGAAAGAACTGGGACCTGTTGGCAGCAAAGCCAAGGTGGAACAAATGGACTGAAAGTGCTTTGCACAAGGCCAAAAAGCTTTCAACAAGCAGCAAAAACTGCCGACGGGACAATGGCCAACCCTGTTAGTCTCTGAAGCGACACTTTTGATTTGTTGGCAAATCTGTACATTGCCGTCTCCACTCAAAAGTTTCTTCCCTTCCCTGAAGGGGAACAACTGAAGACAGACATTGGCATGCATTAGTCAGAGAAATTGGACTATTAATGTGGTCCATTTAAGGGCAAGGACAGTAACCTCATGCGACTAGAGGGACGGTCACCAGTGGTTTTAGGAATCTTCAAATTTGTCCTCAACACAAGTGAAAATGCACTTTTACGCCCGTGTTTCAAAAAAAGGCACCAAGTTACCTTGGGAGTTCAATAATGGTCCCCGTTTTCTTGAATACAATTGGGGATGCTCGATTTAGCCTGAAATTATTCCCGTACGGGAAAAGCTAGTTCCTGACCTTCAAGCTATGAACGTGGCCGATCCTATTTGACGCTATTCTGGCCACATCATTCACAAGCAAATTTATTTCATGTTGTCTGATGTGTTCCAATGAATCTTCAGCTTTTCTGACACGTTTTACATGACAGCACTTGATCCCGATGGCGGGGATCCTCAACCCAATGTTTGCCTCAGGAATAAATGTGTCTGTGGGAATACCGTGAATTGGGAAATTCATGGGGAACAAACATATATATTTACACTTTGGAAATGTGGAAGAGATATTTAAATTTTATGACAGAAACGACAATATTAAAATACTCCAAATATTTGTGGAAATTGAGATGCATGTATTGATCATATGGAGACATCACCCGCAAGCCAAAGAAAACTTTTCTTCCGCGCCTATAAAAAGCTATGAATGGGGATTCGACTGTATTTTAGCTTTCAGTCGGCACTTGGATCGCAGTTATCGGTCAATGCACCGCCACGTCTTCTCAAAGCATCTCCCAGCGGCTGCTGTGGTTGCTACGCCAGACCTGATCGATGCTTCCTGCATTTATCCTGTCACAACCACTGCTCCGAGGTAATAACCAGGGTGACCTCTTTCAAAAACACTTCTCCCCCCATTTTTTTCTTCAAACGCCTCCTAATCCAGACACCGCCTGCCCACACGCAAGTCCGCCGACAAACACATGCTGCCTCTGGGCAAATCAGGACCCGAGTCAGCTATTGGAAATAAGGCAATGAAGGCAAAGCACTTGATATGCAGGCATCTGCTTTGTGGCTTATCTCCACTGCTCAACTGTGGTGAGCAATTGCTGCTTGGCTAGCCCCAGTGAAAAACCCCTCCCCATCCTCCACAGCCTCACCCCCTTCCCATTTTGTCTTCGCCTTGCTTCTCTGCCTGCCCGGAAGGACATTATCGGAATCATTTCCAATCATGTCAATTGTAATTAAATGGATGATTTCCCCCTGGTGAAAGCTAGTTGAGTATATCTCAAGCACACCGCACGAAGCTGGGAAAGATGTGTTAGTTAGAAAATAAGTCAAGCATCAAAACTACAGGAGTTGCCTGTTGGGAGGTCTGCTTATTAAATGCATTTCAAGTGTCATGTTGCGAGTTTTGTGGATGTGGTTTTGATGAGTTTTTGTTTTGTCATGTTTTTCTGGTTTCCTTTTTTGTCCGTGTCTGTCTAGTAGTTATTTTGTCCACCTGTGGATGTCAACCCGGTCCCTCGTGTCAACCAAGCAGCTCCCTGAGCTACTCGTGACATGCCCTGGTGTTCCTCATTGTTTCGTCACTTTGTGTTTGTATTCTGTTAATCCTCGTCAGTTCACTGTCCAAGTCATATCTTCCCTGTTGCTGCCGTTCCCCCGAGTCATGTCTGCTTTCCTTTGGACACTGTTCATTTATTTTGGTTTATTCCAAATGGTCTTCTTCCCCCCCCCCCCCGCCCCCTATTTAAATGTTTTTGTTAAGACCACAGCTGTCTTGCCTCCCTGCTTCCCTGCATTTGGGTCCTCATCCATCACTCCCCTTGACAGAATGAACTGACCACAAATGGACTCAGCAGAAGTGGAGGAGATCAAGTGTGCTTTTTCTTTGTGTGTTGTTTCAGGACCTGGCTTCCGCCATGAACAGCCTGACTGCACACCTGGACATGTTCTGTGCCCGGTACCTTCCCACTTGGCAGCGGCGCAGAATGTCCTGCAGCTGCTCTCCATCCCTTCTCCGGCAGTGCACATCCTGCGGCCGCCATGTGACCCTGCTCCAGAGGTGTTACAACTCGACCGAAAAAAAAAAAAAGATCCACATCCGTACAAAAACAAATTTGGTTACACCGACTCATAACTCGGGATGTGGTCAGAATTAGTATTCTGACATGAAATCGGAGTCAGCATACACCGGTTACCAAGTGCCTCCGATTAACAGCAAATAAAGTTCAGATGTTCTTGTAGGCTTTTCTGAACATTTTCTGGCAAGCCGTGCATTTTCCAGTGTTTATTGCAGTGGCAGAGAAAATTATGCTACAACATATTGTGTTGCAACTTGCTCTACATAAATTCTGAATGTATTCTATTGGGCTATGCCTGTGCCGGTGCAGAGCAGACAAGCCGACTTGCCACTTATTTCCAGTTCATAGCCACACAATAACTTTTGGATCTCTGACAGCCACCACAGCACTCACATCGATCATGCACAAGCGCCGATGCACCTGTGCAGCAGTAAATCAGCTTGCTAGCACACAGCCTATGTTTAGTTCGTTCAATGTCATGAGGCCGGGCGGCTGTATATCCTTGGTGTCAGCATTATGTGAAGGTGGTCATGTTCCCTCTGTTGCTCACACGGCCCGATTTCTGACGATGGGCTTGAATGTTTGTTTCTTCTCATGAGTTGCAAAAAGCAAAAGATGAAGTGCCTGGTGAGCAATTTTAGCCAAAATGCATCATGTATGTTGTAGTGCGTGACTCACCAGCTGTAAAAAAAAACAACTTCATGTATTTGTGTTGACCTAACACAAAAATGGTATGGGACAAGTAAAAAGCAGGGTTTTTGAATGCAGCAATCAGCGGTGGCGCATTTCACGATGCTGGCACGAAAGATGAAAACTGCGCGCGCGTGATCGCTAATTGCTGCATTGTGGGCCGCCTCTCTTCCACCTCCACCGTGACACGCCAATTCATCAGGAGATCACAGGCGGATCGAACCAATGGCTCCCGTCTAAGCCCGCCGCTGACAAATATCCCCCCAAAATCCTTTCTTGCAGTCTGCTGCCTTCAGCCTGCATACGACTCATTAAGCCAGCTGACTGTCACTCGTCAACGCTGCAATCTGGCATTAGATCTTGATGCAAAGGGGAAATAAAAAGTTTGACATTTTTATTCACGGGTGGATCTGCAACTAAAAGTGTATTACGATGAGGTGCAACTTTTGCCGGCAGCCTGCCACCTTCTCTCTCAACACCCCATTGCTTGGCTTAATAAGGGACGGATATGCTCACTCCCACAGCTCATTTTTACTCGCCGACCGTCTACTTCCATCCTGTATTCCCAGGTAGTGTCTGTTATTAAGCAAATGAGTTGCTGCTCCATAGCTTTGGCCATCGGATGGCTGTGATTGAAGGGTAATGCTCAATGGCAAATAAGACCTTGGCAAACCACGCATGAGGCCTTGCACGTGTTTCAGGGTTACGCACTCGACTCATATGTGTGTACCAGGAGTACAAAAGTGATATCTCCTGTCTCACTTATGCACTCAAAATTATTTCACCGTATGTTTAGCCGGCGCTCATTGAGGCTCGCTATGCATTCAACATGTCAAACTTTTGAAAAGTTGGATCAACGCACGCAGTCTATTCAACTTGAAACTGCATTCCTCTTGCTGATACACTCTTGAAAGGATGGAATACGAGAGCTGGCTTTCTGTGCGAGCGCCAGTCTCCACGGTGAAGCCCGTTCATTCACAAGAATAGTCGAAGCCAGTGAACAAATGCATTCATCAGTTTATAGAGGTCAAGAGTGCAGCTGCGTATGTGTATTAGTGGTTATCATGTCTGCCTCACAGTTAAAAGGTTTCTGAGATGGAGATAGAAAATGGTGCACTTCCCTTTTCTTTGCAAGGCACCATTTTTGAAGAAATCTTTCAGAAAAAGCAAACTCCCAAAGAATTGGCACCCTATGAAATGAAAGACATTCCAAAAATGTTTTGTCAAAGATCATGCACGCTTAACTCACTCATGACGTGGTCTTCTTTATAATATTTATGACTAACGTCAAAGGAAGGACCGTGTGAAGGGTAAAAGGTGTTCAACATTTAATCAGAATAAAAACATCTCTGGTGGCTTGCGGGAAACACTAGCGCTGCTAAAGTCACTTCTTTTCATAGACTCCCAGTGTCTGCAAAGAGAGTACCCGGACAAATGATACGTATATCCATCTTGTTTGTCGAAGGTTAACCGGTGCATTTGAAGAGCTCCTTAGCCAGGCTTGATGGAAGCTGCTCTTTGTCTTCGGTGTGTCAAACATGACAAGGATGAAGGAAAAAAAACAAAAAAAAAAAAACAGGCGAAATCCTTAAGGCAAGGCACTGCCAACAGACATTGTGCTTGGCTCGCTGCCCGGTACCATGAGAAGATGCTTTCATTTGGAGCAGCTTTAGCCGCTCCACGGGAGGTCGAGGGGGAGCATTGAGTTGTTCTTCTCATACCAGAAAAATCATTCATTGAATATGAAATGTGTTTTTTTTTTTGTTTTTTTGTGAAAAGCTACAGTTAACTCTCACATGAGCGCAAACTTGATACTGTTTGGTCATCACAATATCTTAGAATATACATGTGTTTATTGATGAATATTTCGATAGAATTTATGACCTTGACTCAACTCCGTGTACCAATTGTCTATACTGAGTGTCGTGGCTCAGGGTTTGACTCTGGAGGAGAGGCGGGCCGCACCTTGCGGTGATCACCTGCCAAGAGCAGAGCACAAAGAGAAAAACGGCCGTTCGCACTCATATTAGTTCTTACTGTATGTACAATTTAGGGACTTAAATTAACCTTACATGCATTATTTT